AATATTTTGTGTTTATAACTCCAAAAATAGTTCACATTGTGACAAAAAGATTTATACAAAAACATTACAAGACATTTTCTCTAAATATCCTAATTTTATGATAAACACAGGGAAATTTAACATTTAGAAAAATAATTATACATGATTTTTGTCAATTTTATTTTTATTTTTTGAACAAAACAAAAAATACACATTTTGACAAAAAAATTTATACAAAAAATGTTTTTTTAATGCCCAATTTGGTGAGAAACATGCAGGAAAATATACACTTTTGAAAAATGATGTTACAAAACATTTTTATCAAAAGCTATCAACATTTAACGAAAAAAAGGAGTAAAAGTTCAGACTGTGACAAAAATTTGTACCAAAAAAAATTGAAAAAATGTTCTCTAAATGTCTTAATTTTATGAAAAACATGCAGGAAAAGATAACATTTTAAAAAAAAATTAAACATATTTTGTCAATTTTTTAGTTTTTGAACAAAAATGACAAGAAAGCTTTACGTTTTGTGTTATTCAAAACACATTCAAATATGTTCTCTAAATGCTCAAATTTGATGAGAAACATGCAAGAAAAGATACAATTTTGAAAAATAATTTTACAACTATTTTGTTCAATTCATTTTTTTAGTTTATGTTGACAAAAAAATGTATACAAAAACATTGCAAGAAATGTTCTCTAAATGCCCTAATTTTTTGAGAAACACACAGGAAAATAAAACAATTAAAAAAATTACTTTACATTGTTTTTGTCAATTTGTTTTTAGTTTTTGACCAAAAATAACAAAAAAATACATATTTTGACATAAAATTTTATACAAAACTATTTCAAGAATTGTTCTCTAAATGCCCCTAATGTATGAGATGCAGGAAAAGATACAATTTTGAAAAATAATTTTACAAGATTTTTGTCAATTATTTTTAGTTTTTGACCAAGAGTAACAATAAAATTTTCAAAAGTCTTCTCTAAATGCCCTAATTTGGTGAAAAACATGCAGGAGAAGATATAATTTGAAAAATTCGTTTAAAAACATTTTTGTCAAGATTTGAACAAACTTGTCAAAAATGACACAAAAAGTTCAGATTTTGACAAACAATTTAATTTAAAAAATTTCAAATGTTCTCATAATGCCCTAATTGAATCAAAAACTTGCAGGAAAGGATACAATTTTGAAAAATATTTTTACAAAAACCTTAACACTAACCATAACCTACCATAACTTAAACCCTAACCCTAAAGCTAAAGCTAAACCCTAACCCTAAACCGTTACCCTAACACTCACCCTAAACTCTAATGCCCTAAGTTTATGAGAAACATGCAGGAAAAGATAAAGTTAAATATTTTAATTTTATTTTTTTCTTAAGTTTTCATAATTTTTTTTGCCATCTGACCATGACCTGTGATATTAGAATTTTATGGAAAAATTCCCCCAAAAAATTGTGGTGTAAAATTTTTTTCTAAAACATTTCATAATTTTTTATTTTATTTTTGGCATATGTTGTGATAAGTATTGCTTTATTTGCACCTATCTATTGTAAAATAAGCTGATCTAACTTATAAAGTGTGAAATCAAACATATTACCGGTCTTGTAATGTACAGGAAGGTTAAAGAACATGTATCTGCAGTATATATTTATATATACTATATAGAGTATGTATTTATTTATATTTAAAGACCACAAATTAGGTAAACAAAGTATTTGCAACAGGTACATATTCCCAGTTGTGCATTTTTTCCCAGAACAAATTACACCTTTATTGAATGAACATTTTGGGAGATTATTTTGTCTTCTCAGTTGTTATCCTATTACCAGGTGTCTTGGGAGGCAGACTTACCAAGTTGGCGTCAGACCAAACTCTGATATTGTCAGAAAACACACTTGTTTGCTGTCAAACCGGGAATGTGAGGCACACTTGTTTGCTGTCAAACCGGGAATAAGGCCAGGAGATTGATGCCTTGATTAAGTGAGGAAATATGCTGACAGTCAGTTGTCAATCTGAATTTTTGAATATGTAAATGTACAGTTCACAAACTGCAAAAAAAAAATTGAATTTTGGCAACCACCGAGAGTCTACGGTTGGGAAAGGCAACATCTGGCTTCTGGATTTGAAATATGGAAATAATATTTTCTCTAGAATTTTCAGCATTTATAGTTAGTTTAAAGTATGTAAAATTATGTTGATTGACAAAAGAACTGGCAAACTGAATTATGGCTGCGAGCAATATCCATGAAATTAAGCATTATTTATATAGCCCCATGTTCTGCAGAAAGTTGCAGTCATAATATTGTCTAATAAATAACAGTTCTGGACGTTTTTGCTTAAACTCACTATATATATAAAGTCTTTAGTTTAAAAAAAAACTTTTTTGAAAAAATCTAACTCAGAGCAAGAGAGATAGCATGCAAGAATTTTGGCATATTGCTGCTGTTCCTTGGGGGCGCTAAAATTAAGTTTGCATGCAATGTTCCGAATCATCAACAATCTACTCTTGGTAAACTTATAAATGATCCCAGTCACTGGTACAGCAAATGTACATATTTGAACCTCTGTCAGAATAATATTTTTGATGTTCTCCTCAGCACAGCCTGAGCTGAAATAAATTGTTAATGACCTGCGGTGCCTGAGAGGGCTCCTCACTATGGTCAGGGTACCAGAATGATGGTCACTGAGCACCGGACTGAGTACAGCTGTTCCACACTGATAGTGCTGAATATATATATAAATGCCCTTGACATCACCAAGAGAGGTGGAGGACAGGAAGTGGTCACATTGCATTAGCATCGAGCAGGCTTGACTGGCTGACAGGGGAGTCTGACCGCAGCCCATTGGTGGTAATGGCAGTGAGGAAGGGGAGGAAGAGGGGGAGGACGATGGGTCCAGCGTCATCCTTGGGGCATTGCATGGGACAGTGTGACAGGGTCGGTCAGCAAAACACAAGCAGCCACCCATCCATAATTAAATCAGTCACACTCAATATATTTCGGCATGAGCACTTTGATCACAGCAGAAGTTCCAGAACGGAGGACATTAGAGAAAATCAGGAAATTGGTTAGCAACTTGGATCAAAACTGCAAATAAGTATTTGTTTATTTACATTTTTTTGTTACTAGACATTAACTAAATTAGAATAATATCACTTAAAAAATGACAAGGTCAAAGGTCTAGGACTAAAACTGTGCACCAAAAAAGGGTCAAAGGCAAATGGATTGTGGTCGGACTAACCATTCAATCAAGCAACTCATTCTACAAGCCAATGTCAACATGACTAAAATCCACCGACACTATAAAGATATGTACCATGAATTAGTTTTTTTCTCATATTTAAAAATGTTGTTTTGTCATTTATTGTCATGTTACAGTTTACTCCAGTCGCTGTGAACACAAAAAACAGTGGTGCGTTACAGAGTGGATATT